ACAGGTTGATCCATTGCTTGACATTGGTATCACTCAAGCTTCTGTATCTAAAGTGATTTTCTGCTTAGACTCTTCTACAGCTTGTGGCCTGGAAAACATACCTGTTATAGTCTTGCAGAAGTGTTCTCCGGAGCTGTCGCTTATCCTTTCAAAACTATTTAACAAATGCTTATCAGAGTCTTGTTTTCTGGCCTGCTGGAAAGCAGCATCTGTTATCCCTATTTTTAAAAATTCTGGAGAGCGATCTGATTCGTCTAACTACCGTCCCATTAGTCTTCTTCCTATCATAAGCAAAGTTTTTGAATCTTTAATTAGCAAACACTTAATCTCTCATCTTGAATCTAATAACTTAATTTCTGATCACCAATATGGATTTTGATCTTCTTGTTCTACAGCTGATTTGCTAACAGTAATAACCGATAGGTTTTATCGCGCATTAGATAAAGATGGAGAGGTTAAGGCCATCACTCTTGACATTTCTAAAGCGTGCTGGTCTTCTTTATAAGCTTTCTTCTTACGGTGTATCTGGAAACATCTTTAAGATTATTGAATCCTTTCTTTCCAATCGTAGTATAAAAGTTGTCCTTGATGGACAGCACTCTTCTTCTTATTCTGTAACCTCAGGGGTTCCTCAAGGTTCAATCCTTGGTCCTATATTCTTTTTAATTTACATTAATAATCTTCCACACCTAAGGTGAGCTTGAAAAGAATCTCACTTCTGCTACAGCATAGGGCTTACAGTGGCTGGTGAATTTTAATTCAGATAAAACTCAATTTTTTTCAGCCAATCGTTATCCCAATAATTTAGACCTTCCTATATTTATGAACAGTAATATACTTAATGAGTCATCTACCCTTCATCTTCTAAGATTAACTCTTACTTCTGATCTTTCTTAGAAATCTTATATCAAATCCGTTGCAAAATTAGCATCTGCTAAAGTTGCATCTCTTTATCAAGCTTGACTCTTTCTTACTCTGGATTCTATTCTCTATCAGATAGAGAATAGAATCCAGTGTAAGAAAGAGTTGAGCTCGATAAAGAGATGCAACTTTAGCAGATAGTATCTTTGAGATTTATAGAGATAGTATCTCTGTAAATCTCAAATCCGGCCTTGTATGGAATACTGTTGACATATCTGGGGCGGATCTTCTAATGATGCCCTTTCTATTTTAGACAAGGAACAAAAACGCATTGTAAACATAGTTGGACCTGCTCTTGCAGCCAACCTTAAACCTTTGTCACATCGTCGTAATGTTGCTTCTCTTTCTCTTTTCTATAAATACTATAATGGGCACTGCTCTAAAGAGTTAAAACTCTTGTGCCATCTACTAAAATTCATTCTCGTGTTACTCGTCATTTAATTAAGTCTCATCCTTTTTCTGTTTCTGTTCCTAAGTGCTCCAAAAACTCTTATTCATCTAGTTTTTTTCCTCGAACATCAGTTCTTTGGAATTCGCTTCCTTTATCTTGCTTTCCTGATTCAGGAAAGCAAGATGAAGGAAGCGAATTATTTTTTGCAATCTTTTAAGTCGTCTGTCAATCATTATCTTGCTCTACAATCTTCATCTTTTTTTCTTCTAGTAACTTCCAACACTAATTAGTGGTTGCTTGCAGCCTTGTTGGATGCGAAGATGTTTTAAAAAAAAAAAAAAAAAAGTACCTAAACTGCAACATATTTTAGGGTATTTGCTACATAATATATTTATTTTGAAGTTTAACAGGTACATAAAAATATTTCTCAATAGGTTTTAAAAATGTCTCAGCATTCCCTCGACACAAAACAGCAAGTAAATTTAGAATATTAATGCGTTAGTGGTGTAGTGGTAGAGCGCTCGCTTCATAAACGAGTGGTTCCGAGTTCGATCCCCACCACGTCCCTGGTAGTACCGCGCTCAACTCGTTTCTCCTCGCAGCGGCCTTGTTCATCAAAGTTCGTGTTTCGGAGTTATAGAGTTGAGAGAGGGTTATAACCACAAATAAGTAGCCTCCTCGTCTGTAGTGGCCTTCTCGGCCTTGAGGAGGTGATTTGAATTAAAAAAAAAAAAAAAAAAAAAGTCAATATAAGTCACCCATGCATAATTGTCACATAAAAATCTAGTTAAACATGTCTTTTTTCCAAAAAAATAGTTTTGTCTGACACTAACTCAAAAAAAGTTTGAAAAAAGTGGGACAAAATTTTAGCACAAACTTTGGTTTCGTATAATGCAATTTCCGCGTACTTGCTTGTTTTTAATTCTGAGGAAGCAATTTATCAATACAAATTATCAAACAAATGGTGAAATTCGACTATGCTTTGATTCCCTGTGATAGATTTCCAAATCAGTTTTATATTTTACCTAGTAATATCAATAGAATATTAATTAAATCGACATCAAAAACATGCTGCAAGAATAGTATTTAATAAAGATAAATTTACTCATGCCGAACCTTTGCTAAAGCTTCTAAATGCACTAAATGTCTACAAAATTAACATTTACCAAAATTTGATATTCATGCTCAAATATAAACTCGGACTTGTCCCATTACATTTTTCAGAAGAATTTTTTAAATGCAATAGAAATAAATATGAAACTCGAGGAATAGGAAATTTTAAAGTACCATATAAAAAAACAAAACTATCACGTTTCTCCATCTCCTATCGCGGCCCTTACCTCTACAACAAACTAATAGCTAAAAATACTATAATTACAAAACTACTTAACCATAATTCTTTGAAAACACTTTTAAAAAAACTTGTTCTAAACTTAAACAATTTTACAAACGTATATTAAAACAAATAACTAAAAACCCCTAAAAAATCCACTTTAAAGCAAAGTAAATGTTAGATTTTATTTATATTTCGTACATGTCAATATACTAAGTATAACAAACCATGTAACTATATATTTATGTGTATCAAATACAGCTCTTTTCCGTTTTTTGTTTTTGATTATCTAGTAGCTTTTTATGTGTGACTCTTATGCCACCATAAGACTTTGACAAACTGAAATTTCTTAATAAATTAAGTATACAAAATATCGCAACTAAAAGCGGTTTCTTGATGACAAGACCAAAATGGTCTTCTGCAAGTTTCCCGCGTCTTTTAACAGTGTTACTTTTTTATATATATTATTATTTGTATTAAAAAAAGTTTTCTTATTATATGTACGGTATTTTTTTTATACAATGTAAACGAACTAGTTTATATTTATGATCACGTATTTGTAAAGCTTTGATAAAAGACAAAAAAAAAAAAAAAAAAAAAAAAAAAAAAAAAAAAAAAAAAAAAAAAAAAAAAAAAAAAAAAAAAAATAACTCTGTAGGATGTTTTTCACATTAAGTTCCCATTGATCCTATTATTTCAAATAATTATGAATTATTATTTCTATTAACTGTCTGGATCCATAAAATTCTGTCTTGGTAAGTCTGTTCCTTACCGTCTCTCCCTATTATTCCCACATTGTTAAGGTGCTCAATATATTTCAAGTAGTTATGAATTTTTTAAATATTTTTCTAAAAATGTTTAATAATTCATATAATATAGCCTAATTGTATTCAAGAACTTTACCTCAATTACCTCTAGTAATGTTTATATATAAGCATTATTAAACATTGTTAAAACTTTTTATTAATGTTTATGTTAAAAAATTACTAAAAAGTTTTAGTAATGTTTATATATAAATTATACCCATTACTTAAACTTTTCAAGTTTAAGAATATTGCTTATTGGTTGTTATAGCTAGCCCAATTAATTTAAAACATTCAGGAATTGTAATCAACTGTAAGCAAGAGCTGATTGGGATTGCTCTTAGTATTATAATAAATAGATTACAAAACATTGTAGTATAATAAATAATGACCTTTTAAACACAAATTTGTTTTTTTATAGTAAATTATTTACTAAAATTAAAAAATACCAAGATTTTTTTCATTTTTTAGTTCATCTTGTTTCACTTCATTAATTTTATATTTATATTTAGAGTTGTTATTTCTGAAATGCATAACTTTACATTTTGCAAGTTAAATTTTATTTGCTTGTCCTCTGTCCATTTTTTTAAAATGTTGAGATTATTTTGTAAACTGATGTTCTCTGATACCTGACTGCTAATAGTATAATCCGACTGCTAATAGTATAATCTGACTGCTAATAGTATAATCTGACTGCTATTAGTATAATCTTACTGCTAATAGTATAATCTGACTACTAATAGTATAATCTGACTGCTAATAGTATAATCTGACTGCTAATAGTATAATCTGACTGCTAATAGTATAATCTGACTGCTAATAGTATAATCTGACTGCTAATAGTATAATCTGACTGCTAATAGTATAATCTGACTGCTCAGCCAATAGTTTGCCTTCATTTTTAAATTTAATTAATAAATTTTTTATAAATACTATGAAGAATAGTATTTATAAAAAATTTATTAATTAAATTTAAAAATGAAGGCAAACTATTGGCTGAAAAAAAACTAAGAAAAAAAGACCTAAAACTGAGCCTTTAGTGACTCCACTCTCTATTTTCTCCCATTCTGACACAAATTCTCCAACTGTTTGCAATCTTTGGTTTTAAAAACTTTTACACCACAATAATTATTTGTTTCTAATCCTGAGCCGATTCTATTAAAATATTTTATTATTGGTGAAATATTTTAATAGCAACTGATGGTAATTATTATTTAGCAACGCATCTTTTTAAATTTTATATATATTTTGTTATTACTATGTAAAATTATTTTACATTAAATGCTCATAAAGAACAAAAATCTGCTTGCTATGAAAAAATGAAGAAAAAAAAAAAAGGAAAATTAAATGTATTTCGTATTTTTAAATTTTATCAAAAGTTTTAATGTGTAATTTTTTGTATAATCAATGGGGCATTGGATTGATAAGTAAACAATCATGGTTAATTTTAATTTTTTAAATTTTTAATTAATTGATTTTTTACATTATTCCTAACATTATATTTTTTGTTTAATTATTGACTAATTGATTTAATATTTTTATATTATCTTAGACATAATTCCAACTTTGGCAGACTTGTTTAGCAAGAAAACAGAAAGTGGTACAGAATATGCAATCTTGGGTTGTAAAGTTATCAACTCTATTGATGGGTGCTTATGGAGTTTTACACCTGATGAAAAATGTCAAGATAACCTTTCACTTGACAAAGTTTATAATTTGTTGTTAAGCAAGTCTAATGGTGGTAATCACAACCTAGCAAACATAATAAAAGTATTTCCAATAGAATCATTTGTTGTAAAAAAGTTTGTTTTGTCAACCTGTGGTAAAGATAATGGTCTTGTCAATTTTATTTGCAATTCAGTGAAGCCATTTGATATCATTGAAGATAAGCTAAAGGTTTTTTATTTTATTTTGGTATTAGGTTTTAATTTGTACTTATCACTAAATCATTAGTGTAAGATACAGATTTCAAACCTAACATTGTTCCTTATTGAATCATACTTAGTTAGTCTCACAAACAGTTTCTTTGTCCATGGAACATAAGTCTAGCATTGCATGTTTTGTATATTTTTTTTCTTTTTCTTTAGGCTGTCAAAGTTGAATTAGAGATTAACTTCAACTACATTGATTTTGCAAGTTCATTTAGTTATAGTGATATTGCATTTACTATTAAAGGAGAAGTTCAAATTGGTACACAATCTCTTAATGTTGAGTTTATTAAAGTAAAAAATGTGTTGTCAGAAGTGTTTAAGTTATCTTCAAATGCTATCAAGGCTGCTGACATCTACAAAGTATTTTCAGCCAAAAAATTAACAGATGAACAAAATGATCTATTAAAAACTGGAGGTATGTTTTCAAATTTAGTTATAGAGGAGACTTTAGTAACTGGTTCCCGAAATGAAGATGGAAGTTATCAAATGGTTATTAATGGTAAAGCAACTGGTATTGCTGGGTTTAATGAAATTAAATCATTTATTGTTATTCAAAAACCATACGATAAACCAGCTGGTGTTGGAATAATTGTGTCATTGAAAAATGTTCAACCGCTTAAAATTTTATCACGCATTATTGGAAAAGATCTCACTAGTATTGAGATTATAAAAGATGTTGAAGTTGATCTTGTGGTGCATTATGCAAATCAAGATATAACCGAACTTGGTAATCAAGAGCTTGCAGACTTAATGAATCCATTTTTAGAGAATGGAAACAGCCTTGTTAAAGGAGCAGTAATTTCATTAACTATTCCAATTAAGGATATATTGAAGAAGATTGGAACAGCTTCTAATATAGAAGAAATGTCAAAATCCATTTCAATCCAAATTCTTATTAAAGAAGACAAAATTTCTTTTAAGTTTTCAGATGATATGTTTAACGATGGGATAAAATTTTTAGCAGCAATAGTTCCTAAAGCAGCTGAAAACCTTCAAAAATATATTTTTAACGATAAAATTACTATTAAATTTGAAATATTTGAAGTAAATATTAAAACAAAAGAAGTAAACATTGCTGTATCTCTTGGAAATAATGTGCTTATAAAATTTATCACCCTAAAAAATGTTTATTTTCATATTATATATGATATGTCTGGTGAATTTCAGTTCAAACTCAATGCAGCATTAGAATTATCTGGAGCTACAGCTGAAATCATTATAGAAAAGAAAGGAAAAAAATTTGAGTTATCAGGTTAGTTCTTTATTTACCTAAAAAAAATATTAAAATTCTAGAGAAGCTTTATTTATTTAAATATTTAAATTCTTTTAAAAATATTTTCAAAACCTTTTTTTAAAACTTGGTTAGAAAAAGTAAGCTTCACATTTAGGATCAGTTGCTTCTTTGACATCTGACCAACTGTTAAAAACATTTGGAACTATAAATCTTGTTGAAAATGTTGAAAAGAAACCAAAATTAAATTTTGGAATATGTGATCTTAAAGTTTCTGGTACATTTGGCGAAGGTGTTCCACTTGAAATACGGTGAATTTCTTTTATTCCTATTGATAGTTTGTTTTCTGTATTTTTTATTAATTGTTAGAGTTTTTTTAGTTGCCTCATAATAAAAAATTTTTAAATTGAAACCCTTAAATAAGATATGAATTATACAGTCATGGGCAGGAAAGGCGTGCAATTGCACTAGTAACTGTGACCAGGCATATGATTATTTTTTTGAAATCTTGATTGTGGTTTTTTAATGCTTCAAAAATGCACTGAAAAAACCCGACAAAAAAATAAAAATTATAAACAAGCTTAAACATTAAAAAAAAAAAGAAACAATTCTTAACAGAGGAAAAAAAAAAATAATAATAATTAAAAACTACAGCTCTAAAAAAAAAAATCAATTAATATGAAATTGAAAAATTGATACTTTAGCAGAAAATTATTTAATTATGTACTAAAAAGGGAAAATAAGCTTTTAAATTAAATTTAATAGTTCAGTAAACTTAAGATTGACAGGTCTATTTTGAAATGAAGACCAATTTTTTAGTTATTATTTAGTAGTATAATAGTAATAATTAAGTTTATTGAATGAATAAATTTAAATTAAAAAATTTAGTTTGTTGAATGAATAAATTAAAAAGTTTAATTTCCGCTTTTTAGTACAAAAAAGATAATATTATTAAACAAATAAAATTAATATTATATAGCAAATATTTTGGTTATATTTTATTTCACTTCTTAAATTGATAATTTTGTATCCATCAAAGATCAACCTTTTAGATTTGTAAATGATTTGTTGGGGTTTTTTAGGTTACCATTATGAGTAAAATATGACATTAAAAACTTCAATGTGAATGTTTTACAAAATTAAAAAAAATAAAAATAAAAAAGGTTTAAAGCTTTAATGTACAACTTGTTCTTGCTAATGGAATATTTTTCAGAAAAATTTCAATTATATGCATTTCATGAATCACTAAAGGTTTTATGAAAAGGTTTTATGCTGAAGTTTTTAGGTTTTTTTTCATTAACATGAACTAAATGACCAAGTCCTATCAAAATCTGAGGTGATCCATTTTGAACCTTAGTCCACTTAGCATGACATGAGCCTTTTTTCAATCAATTGGCTCACAATCTTTAAACAGTTTTTTATTGTGGGTCATGACACCTGTGTCTAAATTGCAGTATTTTATCATATTATGTCATCTGAATGATATCATATCTAAGACATCTTCAAATGCTCAGCAATCATTCTTTCAGATTTGCCAACTTCTAATAAAACTTGTGTACATAAACCAAGTGATATTGCCATAACTCTAAGATAATGAAGCCATACTCTAAGATAATGCAGCCATATTCTAAGATAATGGAGCCATACTCTAAGATAATCAAACCGTTCTCTAAGATAAAAATGATTGGATTGTGCATGATTTTAATGTACATATCAAAACATATTCTTATTGGTTCTCTTTGATTTTAAATTACTTTTATTTTGTAAAACCTTTTTTAGTTTAACTTTTTAATATCTTTACTTTACAGTTTGAGTGGTAATCCTGTTTTATTTGATTGGGATGGATTGAAGTTTGAAGGTTTTATTATGCAAGAAGGTATAAATAGCAAAAGATATAAGACTGATTTAAAACCTCTTCAACATAGTTCAAAATCTTTTTTTATGCAAAATATTACACAAACAAAAGATTACCCAATATCAAAAAACTATTATAATGGTTCTCTGCAAAATGACATTGAACCTAGCGAAATATATTTTCTACAACAAGAAGATGAAAAAAGAAGTAATATTATTAATGACATTGAACCTAGCCAAATATTTTTTCCACAACAAGAAGATGAAAAAATAAGTAATATTATTAATGACATTGAACCTAGCCAAATATTTTTTCCACAACAAGAAGATGAAAAAAGAAGTAATATTGTTGAAAGGTCAGTAGAGATGACTGGGTACCAAATGGGTTTAGCAGTGTATATGAAAAACATAAGGCTTGACCATATTGCAGGACAGCTTTCAAAACAGCTTGTGAGTGGAATAGATTGGATGGTAAATCTTAATGTTGGTAAGTTCATTTTTTATCTTGCCTGTCTGTTTCAAGTTTAAATACATTGCAATATTTTTGTTTTATTTAGATATTTTTTCTAATTCTTTTCTTTTCTTTTTTTTTTATTATTCTTTTTACCAAGTCATAACTTTAAAGCAAACTATCATTGAAAATTGTAAAAATTTGCCCTATATCTCTTTTTTTCTTTTCACACTTTTGTTATTCCAAACTTTTTCCTTTAGAGTTTTAAACCATTTCAAAAACTTTCTTATATAAACCATTTAAAAAACATTCTTATATAAACCATTTAAAAAACTTTTTCATATAATCCATTTAAAAAACTTTCTTATAAACCATTTAAAATACTGCAAAATCAACTTTAATATTTTAGGGATGAAATTAAAATTTTTATTAAAAATGTAAAAAAAAAAGTGTTTTGCAGCATTCAAATATTTTTAAATATGTTTTAAATCTCAGGTTTTTCAATGATTTTTTTCATTACCATGAATACCATATTTAATTCCAAAATTTTATGCCATTAGCAATAAATTTAGATGTTGTTTAATATTTAAATACCAATTTACCAAGTCAATCATGCACTATATACAGTTGCAATTTTATAAGTTAAATTAACTAAAATTATTGTTTATATGAATTAAATAAAAAATGTTATTAACCTCATGTATTTTCAAGGTTTTAATATCACCTTGAAAAGAATTTACTTAAGGTTTCAAACAATGGAAAATATTTTTCTTATTATTTCTCAATATTAGAACTGATGCAGGATAAGATGTCTAGTTTGCTGCTCTCAAAAGTTTTCATGCTTGCGATGCAAATTTATATAAAAAAAGCCTTCTCTGGCTTGCATACTGCTATTATGTTTTAGAATTATTAAAGTGTCAAAAATCACAATACATAGCATTTATTTGCTGATTTAGCGCAATATAAATGTTAACTACTTTTATAAATCTCCTTTATTAAATGAATTAGTATGAATTACAAGTCAGTTGGTTATTTTATTAAAAAAAAAATTGTTTATAACAAATATTAGCTTTAAGTATTATAGTCCTAATTTTTTTACAAAAATTTTTTTTTATATACACACATGTATATAAAAACTTTAAATAAAGTATGCTTTATTTAAAGTCTATATATACATGTGTGTATATAAAAAAAAAATTGATAAATAATTGTTTTCTTGTTCAGTTCCGATCTTATTATGTTCTCTTTATATATCAGGTTCGTAACTTCTGCTATTGTTTCTCAGTGGAAGGCCGTTGTAGTTCTGAGAGAAGAAAAGATATATTTCTAGCACTTCCTTGCACTTATATAAAATATTTCTTCCTTCTTTTAAGACTATTACGGCCTGATGGTTTCATATGCGAAACAATAGCAGAAGTTACGAACCTAATATATAAAGAGAACATAATAAGATCAGAAATGAACAAGACTGAGAATCAAATTATTTATGAACACACAGTTTCAAACAAATAAAGACATTAAATGACACATAAAACTTTAACGTTTAGAACAGTACAAACACAATAACTAACAGGACACTGAAACAACACTTACTTAAATCTAACCTAAACAACACTCACTTAACTCAAACATAATTACTGAATAGTACTCCTCTTTTAAACACCAACTCTCAATTCTGGACATCTGTCCGAATATGGTAATTTATCTAGCACTCTCTAGCACTTAGCTAAAATATATCTTTTCTTTTCTCAGAACTACAATGGTCTGATGTGTTCCAAATAAGTGGTGGAATTTTAATAGCTTCCACTGCAAAACAATAGCAGTTTGAAAAATAAACTTGATTTCAAAGTATTTTAATAAGAAGAAAAAAATTGTATTAAAAATTACTACAGTTTTTATTACAGTACTTAAGTAAATAAAAACTGTTTTAATACAATTTTTTTCTTCTTATTAAAATACTTTGAAATCAAGTTTATTTTAATTAACAGTCAAATACTTTACAATAATTTACTTAAATATTAAATGCTATAATAAAACAATAATTTACTTAAAATTATTTTATTTATTAAACTAACAATTTCAACAAAAGTGTATTTTGAGCAGTTTTGTTTTTTTAAACTCATCTATAAAAGGAACATTTGCTTGTTCTAATTTTTTTTTAAGTATATTCCATTATTATTTCAGTTACTTTTTAGGATTAGTATAATATGGTTAACTGTAATGTAAATTTTCTAAGATTTTTTAAGAATAACTTTTTTTAGGATTTTTTTTTTTTTTTTTTTTTGCATTAGTTACATATTTCATTAAGTGTAAGATGGCTTGAATGAACTACAATCAGCATTACAATATCATTCTTTATTTTTATGTTGAAAATAGCTATCATTGTTGGAAACTTTCCTAAACATTTACTTATCGGAAATAAATCAAGATAAATTTTTTGCCCATTTCAGTCTTTTTGCATAATTTTTGTGTCAGTTTAGGCTTTTTAGCCATGAATATGTAAATGTAACCAACATCATGCAGGTGACATTGAAATGTTCTCTTAAACATTTTGATACAAGATTGGTCCAGCTTTTTAGTTATTAAATCATTAGTGGCCTATTATCTTGGTTAGTTTAAAAAAATCTAATCTCAGAATTCAGGATTGTAAAATTGAATGCTGGAATTTACAAGGAAATTGTAGAATTATTTTACACTTAAAATTGAAAGAAAAAAATTATAACAATGTTCAGCATATTGCAATAAAAATACTTAAGCATAAAATAATTTATTATATCTTTAGAAAATATGCTTGCAGAAAGCCTAAACTCTCAACTCTCAAACTCTCTCAAACTAAATCACTTAACCAATTTCCTATTTAACTGCAAAATAGTCCTGCAGCAGAAAATGCTCTTTTTGACTTTGACATTACTTGTTGGTTTAATCATCATTAAAAATCATAAACTTTCTAAAGATTATCACCTTGTGTACAACCACTTATAAATTTTTACTGAGTTCTAAATTTAGAAAATGAGTTCTAAATTTAGAACTCAGAGGTATGCCTAATTGTGATGAAGAAATTATGGTTGTTGCTAGGAAACTTTCTTCTTTTGCTAGGAAACTTTTTTCTGAGACTTCATTAATTGCTCATTAGTAGTTGTAGGTAATTCATTATTTCCTTTTTTTTGTGCAATTTTTCAACTTATAAAACCTTTCAAGCATTGATAGAAGCTGCTTCATTTTATTTTAAAATCTTTGTTTAAAAAAGTTTTTTCTAAAATCATTTTTTTGTTGTTGTCATTGACGATTTTTTATAAACCATCATGATTTTTTCTAATCTTATTTATCACTGGCACAATTACTTTGTAGTTATTACTTCATCAAGCATATAATACTATTTTCAAAATTTAAATTTACTCTGAGAGTTTTTCTTTAAGTAAAATTACACATTTTTCAGATGGTATTGTTTCTGCAATCCTCACTAAACCCAAATTCCGAATATTATGTCTACAGTGCAAATTTGTATTCAAATAATGGGTTGTTTGAATCGATGTCCACTCCTCAAATGAAATTAAAAGATTAGTTCTACTGTCAATTTTTTGTTGTAACGTATTTTCTATATCTTCTTTTATATTGCAAGAGAAATCTAGCACCATTTTAAAAATAGTATTAGGAGATTTAGGTATGTTGACAAATCCCCTTATAGCCAGCCCAGCAGATATATCAGTGGAAGTGCATATTTCATTAAAAGATTTTCCATCATTAGTTTAAATCTTGCAAATAATTCAGACAAGTTATCTTCTTTATTTATATTCAATGAAAAATATGAACTAATTTACTTATTTTACTCTGTGATTCTTCTGTCAATGCCAGAGAACTTGCTAAAATAAAACTTCCACTATTAAATTTAGTTTATGTAACTGAGGTAAATGTGTATGAAGAGCTTTTGTTGATCTGCCTGTAATTTTTAATATTTTTTTGCAATTACTTAGTTTACAAATTGCTGTTTCGCTTTCTTTGTTGCATAAAAAATGTTTCCATATATGGGTTTTACTGTTTTTAAACTCTTTTAAGGTCATCTCTAACATGTATAATATATAAATAAAAACATAAAACATAAGGTTTTATGTTTTTATTTATATATCATGCATGTTAGAGATGATTAAACTTAAAACATAAATGAATTACATATTAATTTATTCGGTTAAACATTGTTTCAAATAGTTATTCAGAGATATTTTAGCTTCTAATAGTTAAAGCCATTTTTCAATCTGAGACTTTAGAAGTTGTTGTATTGCAAAGATAAACCAATTTTTACTTTGTTGCATTAGGCAGCTTTCTCAATTTTTTAAAATTAGGTTGGTTCCTTTTCATATGCACAAACACACCTTAGCATTGACTAGCTTTGAAATACCTACCAGCATCTCTATTCATACCCAAATTTTTAGTGTCAAAATATCTCTAAAGATTCGTGGATTGCTCTTTTATAAAACTTATTTTCTAATTTTAGCAACCATACATTACCCCAATTGGTATATCCTTGCAAGTTTTATAATGTTTAGCCAATTTTTAGCCTGTCCATTTTCCAAGAAATATTGAATACTGATGCTGTTTCAATCTGGTTTTTATCAAACTGCCTGTTTTGCTTATATATTCTGATCTACATTTACATGGAACAAGATACCTGGGTTACTATTTTTTGCAATATTAATTGAAAGCAGAGTTGTTAGATTACCTGTAAAGATAAGCTGTAAAATTGTTTTGATTTTAAATTTTGCAAAAGTTTGATTCAAATTTATATTTAAAATTGGGGTCCAGTGTGAATATTACAAATTTGTTGTACTTGATACCATTATTTTTCGGTCTATTAGTGCCTCTAAAAAGGTTTGAGTTATTTTGTTGGAATTATGTTTATCATAACCATTTTTAAAATTAATGTAAGAAATTTTGTTTCCTGTCTAATGCTTTGTGGAAAGCATAATCATTTTGCACATTATAAAAAACCTTAAAGTATATATTTCTAAAAGGTTTAAATAGGTATTTCCCATTTTGATTAT